GAACTGGCACATTTCAGTCAAAATCCCCAGCAGCCAGCACCCGATGCCTCTGAGGAAGGCTTAAAAAAATCAGATACATGTAGCAGAAAGGGGCGGGGGGACGCATATTCCCTCCCAGTGCCATTTGGCAACCAGCAAAGCCCAGAAGCTTGGGTAATCCCCATAGGAATCTATGGCTAGGCCTAGATCATCCCCACCCAGTGCCTGCCCAGTCTCTTCTTGAACACCTCCAGTGATGGACAACTTCCCTAGGTATCTATTCCTCTGCCAAAATGTTTGAACAATGTGGTAGCAGACTAGAAAAAGAAAAGTTTCTAACGTTTTCCAGATAGGCTTTGCAGAACCACCCAACTTTCCACGCTCTCATCCTTGCTTTCCTTGCCTGGGCAGGATCTCTCTCCAGAACCTATGAACAACCAAAGGTTAAGTAGGTTAGTTTTTGCCCAGACATCCAACTGAAGAGCCCCTTGTCACACTGCCACGCAGCCAAAGGGGGTGTACTCGAGTACCTGATGGCCAGGAAAGGCTGCTTGCAACGCACCCCACTGACACTGAGCTCAGGGTGGTATTCCCTCTCAGCACCATGGCTCTTATTAGCACAGCAGAAATGCTTCTTACCAAGACTGGACAGCAGCCAGCCCTCCTACTTGTAGCCATCGCCTATCTAGGCAAAGAACTGAACCTGTTTTTGCATTTAGCCCAATTTCACTGCGTGGTAGGAAATGTTGTGTACCTTCATCATCTCCTGTCTCCCAGGGCCCAGCATCTCCTCTTATCCCAGAGGACACGGCACCTTCTGGAGCCTCCAGGTGGGGTTTCACTGGGACTTTTTGATCCTCTGTATCTACCTTCATAGGAAAGGGACCTACTGGCTTGCCTAGGTCACTTTTCTCAATGGACAGCATCCCTTCTGAAGCCGCTCCTTGACTTTTCTCCTCTGGTTTCTCCTGCCAGTGTTTTCTCACAAGGACTTCAGTCTTCAAAGCATCGCCATTCATGGGGAAGGCACCTTTTGGATGGTCGCTCTCATTTCTCTCAAGGGGCAAATTGCTTCCTGCTTCCTCTAGATCACGTCTCTTGGAGGTTAAGACATTTTCTGGGTCTTCCAAGGGAGTGTTCCCCTTGGGCAAGGCATCTTCTGGCTTCTCCAGATCATTTCTCGCTCTAGGTAGGGCTCCTTCTGGATGCTGAGGCTGCCCCTCCTCTGAGGAGGAGGCCCCAGCCAGATCTTGAGATTTGTCCCTGTGATGCGAGGACCCTACAAGAAAGAAATGTAGGAGATTTGTCCCTGTGATGTGTGCCCCACTAGGGCATTTCTTAAATGAAGGGGAAGGGTCTCCATGGACTTTTCCACCTCCATGGAGAGAGTTTACTATTGCTTGGGGTTAACAGAGGCCAGCAGCAAGACAAAGAGCTAAAAACAAAGGGGATGCTTTGCAGTGAAGAAGGCTACAGGTTGGGGTAAAGGGCCAGGTCCAAAGTCAGCCGGGAGAGAAAGGATGTAGTAGCAGGGTGGTGGGGGCACAAGTCTAGTGAGAGCCCAGGAGTCCTGGCTGCCCTGCCCCTCCAAAGCTGGGATATCTCAGCTCCTGCTCTAGCCCACCAGCTCCCCTGCCCTTCCCTAGCCTGGACATCCGGGCTTACCGGGCTGTGGGGGCCAGAGATCAGGGGGCAGGTCTGGAAAAAGGCTTCGCAGGCAATCCAGGAGCTGCTGGCAGCTGTCCTCCCCCTTCCTCTGCACCTTCACCAGCAAGCGCCGGACCTTCTCCCGGGGCTCGGCGCAGGTCTCTAGCGCCTCGTACTCCTCCTCCGTGATGATGCCCAGGGCGGCCACCTCATCCAGGAGCAGCTCACTTTCCACAGGGAGATGGGCCAGGAGGGTCGCTCGCCCGCGGCGGATGGCCTCGAAGGCCATGGCTGAGCTGAGCAATCGCAGCGGGGGGGAGGCTGTGAGAGAGGGGGATCAAACTGGCCAAGGCCCCTTCTCTGCTCCTGGCCCCACATCCACCCCTCACTGACCCCGCACCTGGCAATGCCCCTCACCCGGGCCCAGCCTGCTCGCGGCCCCACTTTCTCCCCTCTTCCCCCCACCAAGCCCCCATGCCCCCCACTACATGCCCTCACCAATCCC